AATTTCAAAAATAGAGCAAAATAGCTTAAATAAATTGCCCAGCCTAGATTTAAATGTAAATATTACATTAACTTGCTGAAATCAAGAGACACAACACAGAGAACGTCCACCAGGATATAGTGCTCTCTCTCCTCAGTTTCTCTAAGGGTCCCTCTCTGTCACCTCCCCGCTGACAGAGTCATGAATCTCCATTAGGAGAAGAATGAAGCCACACTCAGACGTATACACACACCAAAGTCACTTTGAAAAACGAGAGAGGAGGAGAAGGAAAAGGAGGGCAGAAAGGAAATGATGAGAAGGGAGGAGAGTAGGAAGAAAGGAAGTAGGAGGGGCTGAAGAATCTCTCAAAGTCACTTTGACAGTCAATTGGGAAAATGAGGAGAGAAGAAGAGAACAGAATGAGAGTGGACAGAAAGGAGGAACGAGGTAAAGATTAAAAGTATCTGATTAAGCTGGTTGTTAATACAGAGTTTGTGGATAGTGATCATGGGTGATTTTTATAGTATTTTTATTACATCCAGGTACAGAGCTACACAATAAAGATACAATTTTGATTGTACTTAATTAATTAATACACACGTTTATGTTTTTCTGCAAAAAGAAAAACAACTGTCTTGTTATAATCATTAGACTTATGAGAAGTGGGCATGAAAAAACCTGTTGGTTCAACTGCCCTTCTCACCATCCCAACATGTAGGTCAGCTGCTTGTTTATTCCAGTACCTCCTCTCCTCCTTCATCCCTCACTCTGACATTCCCAGAGAAAATCCTGCAGTCTGGGAATTCTCACTTATTGTTGTTATTATTAGTCTGTAATGTTTTCCCACTGTCACTCGTGTCACTCTTTTCTTAATTTCTTTTCAGTCTTGCTCTTTCTGCTTTTACTTTCTCGGTCTTTTCTGTCTTCTCTCTCACACAATCGTTCAGGCCCAAACTGTGACACCATTATCTAATCTATAAAATAGATTACATTACATTGAATTAGATTCAATTAGATTAAATTGGATTGGATTAGATTAGATTAGATACAACTTCATTGACATCTGGGGGAAATTTGGTCATTGAAACACTGAAAAGTAAAACAGCAAAGGGAAATAAACAAAAATATGTCTACTTCGTATTGTGTAGCTGATAATTAGTATAACATAGTATTAATTAGTATCACAATATGCAGTAAAGCAATTTAAATGTAGACAAAGGTTGCATGCAGGGCATTAAAGCAACACTATGTTGTCTATCTTAAAATAGCAGCTTAAAAATTGTTTTGATGGTACACTGACTTGTAATAAGATGAATCCCGGGCAGGAAATTTGTGATGTAAACGAACGATGTAATGCTTTACGGCACCATGTCAAACAGCAACTCGACTCTAGAAAGCTATAAGAAGAAGTAAAAAGTATAGAATGTACAATGTACATTCTTTGGAAGAAGCTGGCTCCATATTTTCAGTATGGATGTCATGGCAGAGGGTGTGAAGAGACCGAAGAAGACGTTGTCAGAGGAAATGAGGAAGAGAAAAAGAGAGAGTGACCGAGCAAGAGACCAGATGACAAGCTAGGTAATATAGCATCCAACGCAAGAGCAATTACAGTAACAAGTTTGAGACCTAGTAAGTCACTTTTTACCCAGCCGTCCAATCACAGTGCAGGAGGGGCGGGACAAACACCGCACCGAGCACATCCCATCTTGAACAAAACAATCACAGCAACCACAGCATCTCGAAACCAAAGCGCACCCTAGCGCTCCCAGCTAGGCATTTTCAATACAGCAGCCGGCGATACAACATGGACTGTTACAGGAGTAAATGACTCAAAACATTTATCTGAGAAGATTAAGAAACATGAGTGTACAAGGGCACATATAGATGATACGGTGGCCTCGCGCGGCCACAATGAGACCGAATCCGTTGACGACCCTGGCCTTTTCAGTAGATCTTGTTGCCTCGCTGGACAGAATATCTTGCTATTCAGGCAGTTGAGACAACTGACATTTCTAACCACTGCCAGTTGGTGCTTCTGCTACGGTACATCAACAAGGAGAACAACAGCGGTTGGCTACAGAGGTAAGCTGTATAGTTTATCGGCAGCTCTGAAGTGTTAAGATGTGGTTATTTACAGTGGTGGACATTAACTTAAGTAGGCCTACTGTACTCCATCCAAATTATCCTGAGTACAGGGTCCCGGGGGGCTGGAGCCAATCCCCGCTGACATCGGGCGAAAGGCGGGGTACACCCTGGACAGGTCGCCAGTCCACTGCAGGGCCACACATAGACGAACAACCACTCACGCTCACACTCACACCTAAGGACAATTTAGGGTCACCAATTAACCTAGCCTGCAAATTAGAGGTATTTGTACTTTCTTTGTATTTTCTTTTCATGACACTTTCTATGTTTATGTTTTTGTGTATGAAACTTTTCAATATTGGCATTAAATCATTTTATTTCACAGAGCACTGGTATCCTGCAGTTTGTGTTAAATTGTATTGGGATGGTTTCTGAAATTGACTGGATATGGCACATAGGTTAAAATATCTCACTCAAAACTCCAAATTGTCAACCTCATGGTGGCGCTAAAGGAAAAGTCATAATCATCAAAGCCATGACAGTTTTTCCTCCAGGGACCTGGAATATATGTAGAAAATTATACAGAAATCCGTCAAAAACATTCACTCTCACAGATATAAAACTCATGATAAAAGAAAAGTAAAAGAATCACCAGTCATTTGGATTCATTCACTGGAAATCATGAATGTCTGTACAAAATGTAGTGAGATATTCAGTCAGGATCAAAGTAGTGGGCGACAGACTGACGTTGCCATCCGTACAGCCACGTCACTAAGCCTGAACAGCAGGAGAAAAATAGCTGATGGATAGATGGATGGATGCCCTAGCATCTTTTTTCCAGAAACTGTGGACCATGGAAGATGAAAACAACCTGAAATCTCTGATTCTGAGGAGCTCTTTGTCCTTTTTTTTTAAGGCTGAGTACAACGCAAATCTACTTACCCTCTAGCCGTCCATGGAGGGGGGACCTCTCTTTGAATCACAACTGTTTCCTTGTGCCTGCATGCCCCTTTGTCCAGTGCCCCAGACAGCCTCCCTCTCTTTCCATTGCCATTATTTTACCCAGATTTAACACTTGATGTAATCTTTATACTACAGGTTCAAACAATCATAAATTCATGGTTCCTGTGAGGGTATTTTAATCTCACAAGGTAGTGAAAACAGATTTGCACACACACACAGTAAGACAGCAAAAGGAAATGAGTTCAACATTCCTCATGTGTTCTACCAGCAGTTCCCAGGGTGTGTGTGTTGTTTATATTGTATATATATGTTTTCGTATGCATTATATATGTGTATTTGTGCTTGCATAACTGTTTCATGGTATTTTCCTTGTGTGTGTGTCAGTGAGTATTCTTAGCTCCTGCTGTGTCGTAACTGTCTCTCTGGGAAACAGGCATATCCTCTGAAGCCCCCTGCTCCTCCGAGGGGTCACAGCAGAGGTCAGAGTTGAGGTGTCAGGAAGGTCGTTTCCGTGACGATAATTCTCCCCCTGCTCAGACACCGGGGACATTTTTCACACTGTGAGAATCATACAAACACACACCAGTGATTCTGCGCAGCACGGGGGCGTACACATACACATCTATCTGTCTCTATCGCGTACATTCTCTCTCTATTTGACCTGTCCTCCAGCTTCTCTCTCTCCAGGTGACATAATGCCTCCTGTGCTGGAGGTTCAGATCAGATAAACAGCTGGAATCTTAAAAGGCTTGTTATTAATAAACCTGCTAGCTAGTTTTCTTATCTGATCAGCTAACCATCACTGTCTTTTATTAACATGTAATTAGCACACATGAGCTTATATAACGGAACTGAAGTCTTGACATCAACTTCCTGGTTAGCTGCTGTTCCACTAGCATGTGTAATTTAATGCAATGTAACTGACACGGTTTCATTGACCTGTCTATCTAAAAACACGTTTGTTATTTTTGCTAGCCATATTCTAAGATAAATTAGAGCATCAATAGAATTAAAGCAAAGTTAAACAACAACTTATTTGTTAGTGTCATGACCATGAAAGTGAAGCGGGCTGAAGGCAAAATTGTATTTATTTTAACATAAGCATAATATTTAACACAGAAAGTACAGCCTGTAGGTAATAGTGAAGCTCTCTGACAACCTGACTCCACTCACCACGACCCTGCAGGGAGAGCCAAGGAGTTCTGTCCAGAGAAGGTCGCCACATCGCCTTCATAAAAATGTGATTCCACCCCAAAACTAAAACTATGCCACAGGTTCCTCTAGCTGGTCCACCGTCCTTACATCTGCAACCTTGGAACCATAGGAAGCACTTTTAAAACCTGTGGGATAGAGACCATCAAGAGCTGATGGGGTTTAAGTGCAAGTGACAGGCAGAGCAAAAAACAGACGTGTGTGTGTGTGTGTGTGTGTCTGTGTGTGTGTGTGTGTGTGTGTGTCTGTGTGTACTAACATTTGCGTCGGTGTGGGTTCCCATCGGTGGGAGCACATCCACCTAAGGAGTTCCAAAATCGGAGTGGGGCCCAAAATGGTGGGCCCCACTCCGATTTCAATTAAAATGAGCTCAGCAGCTTCCCCTGATGCTACCATTGCTTTTTTTTTCATTTCTAAAAAGTGGCCCGTAAGGTAGCAAAAAGTGGGTATGTGTGTGAAGGTGTGTATCGTCCAGCCTTTTTGTACCGGAAGTCAGGATATACACTTCCCGCGAAATCGAATACACACCGCGGGAATCTGAAACCTTTGGCCAATGAAATTACTGCACTGTACAATCAGCCGCGAATGTAAGGAAAACTGCGGAAATTGCACAAGAAGAAGAAGTAGACGAAGAAGAAGACTTCAAGGATAGAAGATTGAAGACAGAAGAAGACGGAGTGGTTGGACATCTGAATATTTTTACAAATACCGACCTCTTCATGCAACAGGTAAGCTAGGCATGGTTTTTATGGTGAGTTTATTTTGGCGTTATATCGTGATGTTTGCTACCTCGTTTAGCTGCAATGTAGCTAACGTTAGCGACATAATATTACTATTAGCAGTTGGCTTAACCTAATAACGTCACCACGGACATGACAGCGGGGCAGAGACAGGGTGCAGTGAAGTCCTGTCGTTAAAGGTGGAATCGGTTGTGAATTGTGAGGTTTTTATGGTGAGTTCATATTTTGGCGTTATATCGTGATGTTTGCTACCTCGTTTAGCTGCCATGTAGCTAACGTTAGCGACATAATATTACTATTAGCAGTTGGCTTAACCTAATAACGTCACCACGGACATGACAGCGGGGCAGAGACAGGGTGCAGTGAAGTCCTGTCGTTAAAGGTGGAATCGGTTGTGAATTGTGAGCAAGACCGGGCAGGACTCGCTGATGGAGGTTAGCCAGAAGCTAACGCAGGACTGAAGCTACGGTGCCGTGTTGGAGTCACTCAATAATAATCAATATCAAAGATGTTTTCAAAACAGAAGTTATGGCCGAACCTACGCACCACATGATGTTTTGACACTTTAAATAACAAAAAAATAACAAATAAACAAAGGTTTTTGAAAAGTTGTACATACACGGGAGAGGTACTACAAATATGCAGTATCCTTTTAGGCATTTAAACCCATTTTTGCCTGAAAAAATGCAGTCGAACAGAAAATTTAGGCGTCACGTCATTGACCCACATTTTTAACAAATAAAAACACATTCTTAAATTTCAGAGCATCACTGTGACTGATCAACTGATCAACAAATGTAGCAAGATGTGAAACCTTTGCTTGTTTAGACTCAATACTTCTAAGGGAAGTTTTCACCATCCTGGTGGTACCGGCCTACCCTGGACCCCCCCATAACCATCCATGCGCTTATGTATGAGGAAGGATGTGATGCTGCATATGTCAGTCAATGGTCATGTGGCAACGCCGCCATGCTGCTGTACCAGAAGTTAAGTTTGACATCCCTAGTTTAAATTGATTACGGAGTGTCTGTGCAGCACAACATGGTTATCATCTAACAAGTTAACTTCAACAGGCTCGGTCAGCTTTCAGTGTGCTCATTTCAGAATTTGCATATTTCATTAGCCCGTGTTTGATGTTAAACAATGTGCATCTTGCAATAGCAAAGCTCAGTACACAGTTGTTGCAGCGTCTATGTGTTTGTATGAATGTCTGTTTATTTATTTATTTTACATAATAGATTTTTTTTGTGACTTGCTATTTTTCAAAAACCTTTTTGTGAGATTTGCCTTGACTAAGTACGAATTACAATTATTTTCACAGAACCATTATGTCCACAAGGAGGAGGAGGAAAAAGCCTATAGACGATGCAAAGACATACATTCTGTCTTGCACTGACAAGGATGGGTTTATGCCGAGATTCATTGACCGTTACAAAGGTAAGTTGCAGAAGATTCCTTGACACAACTTGTGCATTTCAAAAGCAAAAAAGTATTATTGTTGATGTTAGGGATGAGTCGCGATCTTCGAATAGTCGGAACTGCGTGCGAAATTCGATCATAAAAAAGCATTTTCGAATATCGTTATATTTTGGCGCAATTCCTATGTGTTCTAAATTGACACCGCGCCTACATTCACAGAACACGCAGCTGGGTATTTTCCTGTCGGGGACACAAGGTGTCGTCAGCTAACATGAATGAAACACCCTACTGCGCGATCTAGGCTACCTGTGTTTTGTGCATAGTGTAAACAAACAACAGAAGAAGAGTATTGTCGTGACCGTTTACTCTGCGACCAACCATTTTAAATTATGCCAAGCAAAGCTCGCTGGCATACCACCACTCGGGGGCTGTTTACACTTCACTTCATATGTTTTCTGTGATCGGACAAGTGTATGTGCATCTGGTTGTTGAAACCACATATGTAAATGTTACTCCTCCCAAAAATGCACAAAAATAAACGTGTGAGAACGTGTTATTATAGGCTATACGTCATGTTATAGCTAGATATGACGACGCTACTGCAACACGGCGCAGCTGAGCATCTATTCATCAAGCCAACTTGCAAACTATCGCAAATCAAAGTGAAAGTAAGTCGCAGATGCTTAACACACAATCATCTTCATTAAAAGTAAAGAAACGAGATGATCTTACCAGCGCTGTTGCCACTCTCTCTTTGATGTTGACATTTTAGCTGACGATCAATAAAATGCAGCACATATCTTAACTCCATTAAATCAGTATATAGTGCAGGAGTTGAAAATCGGATTTATATCCGACACATTTATGTGACCAAGTGTAAATGGAGCAATGTACAGCCCCGTACAACAACGATGCATATAGCCACCTGAGATTCAAAGCTCCCGGCAGCAGCTTCATCCTCCCCACCAGTCATGGCTAGTTCGTTGGGTAGACTTGGCTAAGTTGCATGCTAGGCATCTGGCAATATAATTTCCCCGCCTGACAAAGTTAGTAATCTTCTGCTTGAGTGTCCCAGCTGTGCTCATTAGCAATTAGCCTCTGCGTTGTGGGCGGAGCCAGCGCTGCGGTAAATTATGAAAGCTAATACCAATATCTCTCTTCTTTGCACTGCAACCCACTACAGCACACAGGTGTTGATCCGCCATTGTCTTCTCTACTCCTCAGAACCTGAGCGGAGTGGGGCAGGAGCTTGTGGCCCCCCCAGAGTTATTACATCACAACTCCAGTCTGTTTTAGGCTGCCTTTTAGTGACTGCCATTGGTTCACAGCCATTTGAATGCAGAAATACTCAAAAATGCAATTTTGAGCTTAATTTTCTAAAGATATGTCCTCTAGCTTTAGAAAAATGCCACAAGAACATGTTAACAACACGAAAAACATGATTATCATCGGAGTGGGTCTTTAAAGCTCATTTGCACAATACATTATTTAACTAGTCTCTCTATTTGTTGTATATACGTTTGTTATATTGCTTTTCTGTGTCCTATATTTATTTTGTAAATCAGGAATACTTTCCGTTTTTTATATTGCTATTTAATATTTAGTTTCATGCCTTGCTGCAGCTACAATGTATTTTTCCAGTTTTGGATCAGTATAGTACATCTGTCTGTCTATGTCAAAAGTCTGAGTTGCATGATGTTCTTACGCTTCACTGGTGTTACCTGCACTAAATGGTACACGGCACTCTCAGTTTAAAGGAGTCATAACTTAGTATTACCTTGGATACCCACGCTCTATTATAGCCTTTCAGGCCCTTCTAAAAAAGAAAAGTGGAGAGCTCCTCTGACCCTTATTTCTGAAGGCATTATTGTCTCGCGAGATCTGATGTGATATTTTGGCTGTCATGGATGGTCATTTTAATAATGCAAAGGGGCGCGTTGATTGGTGGCAGGAAGGAGGGGGGTTGACACCGCAGGTAACTTCAGCATATCATTCCAAAATGACATCATGGCGCAAGTTGTGAATGAAACCGACCTGGCCGCGACCTACGGAATTCAACCGTACATGCACGAGCCAGACTCTGAATCTGAGCTGGAAAGGGAAGATGTAGAGTCGATGGAAGGACGTCTACATCAAGATGTCTCTGAATGGTAAAAACAATCATTTTGACTGAGACATTCATTATACCTTTTATTTAATGTAGATTACATTAACGGAGATGTAGTCTACTTTTTTTTATCAGCTTACAGTTGTTATTGAGATCAACGTTTGCTATCATGTGGTGTTTTTGCCTTGTTTCACGTTGTGGTTTTTTGGACATTCAAATTTGTGAACGATTCCGGTGTAAAATGATTAGCACAGACACCTAACGTTAAGCCAGTGGGAAGGGTTGTAGGAACCGCGTCATTAAAAATGAATTTAATCCACTGGTCCCTGACAGCTTGGTCCGTTCTTGGGAGAGAAAACACATTTAAGTTACATGTTGATTCTGGCAGTCAACAACAGAGCAACTCACGTGTGCACTACGTTTCTGCATCTTTCGCGACTGAATATGAGGGGGAGAGGGGCAGGGCGGGCTTCCTGCAGCATAGGTCTGCGGTGTCCATATATGGTATTTCCTGCCCCGTCTTGACGTCAAGTCGGGGCAGAAATTAAAATCTCGTATTTGAGTGCGCGTGCACGTGGGCTGGTTGACGAACCCAGGGGTAAACAAACGCTTCACTTTTAAATATCGGCTTCCCGGCCAGTGTATAATCGTTAGGCAATCATAACATACAATAGCCGTGTTTCCACTGTCGGGCCAGAGCCGGGCTGTGCTAGTTCACCCCTAGCGTGTTTTAGTGAAGCGCTGTGGAGCTTCTGGCCAGACAGTGGAAACGCAACAGCTGGTTTTGAGCCCGGTGCTCCTGGCCCGAGGCCATTAGCCCGGCTCGGCCCAGTTTAAAGCCCTGGCTCGCACTGGCCCGACAGTGGAAACGCGGCTATTGATTCTCGTGGAAAAGTGAAAATTACAGGTCATGACTCCTTTAAGGGAACCAAACAGAGCATAGACAGGACCTCAATGATGCATTGATGTGGATGGGTCTGCATCAAAAACATTTTATGTCCACAAAGTCTGATCAAAAAAGCACTTTACCTGTAGAGTGTGTATCACAACTGGGAGAGTGCTGAGCATTGTCTGCAGGTAATACACTGACTAGACGCAAGAACATCAACCTCACTTTGAAAATACTGTAGTATCTGTTTTTGAGCCAGAATGAAATGTTTAATTATTATATATTATTGTAGGAAGAGGAGTGTTTGCCACACAACCCATTGAACCCGGGGACTTCGTGTTGGAGTACAGGGGTAAACTCCTCACACAGGAGGAATGCAAGTCAAGAAAATACTCAGAGATTGAAAGCACATTTCTCTTTGACTTTCAGTGGCAGAATCATCACTTATGGTAAACATTGAAAGATGGATGTTTTGTATTGATTTAGAGAAATTACGAGTTAACCCTGAAACAAAGGTTTAATACTTGATGAATGAGTTAAGCAAAAATACTCTTAAATTCTTTTGAAAATAACTCTTTCAATAAAACTTTTAAAAAGATGTAAAACTATTACCATTTTTTTGATACTTTTCAGCCTGGATGCATCTGAAGAAGATTTATCTCTCGGAAGATTGGTCAATGACAACCACCAAAATCCAAATTGCGTTATGAAAAAAATCATAGTTGACAACAAACCACATTTGTGCCTTTTTTCTCTGAAGAAAATAGAAATAGGAGATGAAATTGATTACAACTATGGTGATTCAAAATGGCCTTGGCGCTGTAAGGTGAGTTGGTTAGATTAAGTATAGAGATTTCTTTTTTTAAATTTTTTTGTTGCAAAAGAAAATTTTGTATTTCTCCAAAATTAACCATGTTTCCAATATTACTCTTGACTGTCTATGGAAATGCATTTAATCTTTGATCTGTGATGTGTGTTAAAATGAGTTCTTCTTTATCTGCAATCCAGTTGAAAAAAACCCAAGCTCCAGCCGCAGCAGAAGAGAATGAGACTAGCCCTGTTCCTCAGATGCTGAATGATAGACCTAACCCAGATCAGACCTGCACACAGGTAAAAGTACATTCAAACACATTCATCTATGCTGACATGTATCCATGACCCTATCCTAACCCTATCATGTGGGGCCCTTCCGTCCAGTTCTTACGGTAATTGTTTTTAATGCACTGTGGCAACACCTGACATGACCTCAACTGTGATTTTAACATTCGTAATTGTATACTGTGTCTGAGCTGTTAGATGTTTTAAAGCAATATTTTGATTTGATCCACTGCAAACTCTTGGAATAGACGTGAGCTGCTTTTTAGTCCATGCTCTCAGTTAAAGTTCAGTGCTGTTTCACCATTAGATGACCTTATTAGCCTGTGAATGTCTCTTCATACAGTTCTGAGTCTCTTCTTGTCTGTCTATTTCAGGTGAAAGGCCTTCAGACTCCTGCTGCAGCAGAAGAGAATGAGACCAGCCCTGTTCCTCAGATGCTTAACGATAGACCTAACCCAGATCAGACCTGCACACAGGTAAAAGTACATTCAAACACATTCATCTATGCTGACATGTATGTGGTGGTGTTCTATTACTAAAGTGGACCAATGCTTATGTGGCTTTATATTGGCTGTTAAAGGCCAGGTAATGTCACACACACCGGCATGTTTCCAGTCATGTTCTTATGGGGTCCTTCCATCTTCCAAATACATTTGTTTCTCAAGTCGCTCCTTTACACACTCGTATGTCTGTAGTCTGACCCATGTGGGGCCCTTCCGTCCAGTTCTTACGGTAATTGTTTTTAATGCACTGTGGCAACACCTGACATGACCTCAACTGTGATTTTAACATTCGTAATTGTATACTGTGTCTGAGCTGTTAGATGTTTTAAAGCAATATTTTGATTTGATCCACTGCAAACTCTTGGAATAGACGTGAGCTGCTTTTTAGTCCATGCTCTCAGTTAAAGTTCAGTGCTGTTTCACCATTAGATGACCTTATTAGCCTGTGAATGTCTCTTCATACAGTTCTGAGTCTCTTCTTGTCTGTCTATTTCAGGTGAAAGGCCTTCAGACTCCTGCTGCAGCAGAAGAGAATGAGACCAGCCCTGTTCCTCAGATGCTTAACGATAGACCTAACCCAGATCAGACCTGCACACAGGTAAAAGTACATTCAAACACATTCATCTATGCTGACATGTATGTGGTGGTGTTCTATTACTAAAGTGGACCAATGCTTATGTGGCTTTATATTGGCTGTTAAAGGCCAGGTAATGTCACACACACCGGCATGTTTCCAGTCATGTTCTTATGGGGTCCTTCCATCTTCCAAATACATTTGTTTCTCAAGTCGCTCCTTTACACACTCGTATGTCTGTAGTCTGACCCATGTGGGGCCCTTCCGTCCAGTTCTTACGGTAATTGTTTTTAATGCACTGTGGCAACACCTGACATGACCTCAACTGTGATTTTAACATTCGTAATTGTATACTGTGTCTGAGCTGTTAGATGTTTTAAAGCAATATTTTGATTTGATCCACTGCAAACTCTTGGAATAGACGTGAGCTGCTTTTTAGTCCATGCTCTCAGTTAAAGTTCAGTGCTGTTTCACCATTAGATGACCTTATTAGCCTGTGAATGTCTCTTCATACAGTTCTGAGTCTCTTCTTGTCTGTCTATTTCAGGTGAAAGGCCTTCAGACTCCTGCTGCAGCAGAAGAGAATGAGACCAGCCCTGTTCCTCAGATGCTTAACGATAGACCTAACCCAGATCAGACCTGCACACAGGTAAAAGTACATTCAAACACATTCATCTATGCTGACATGTATGTGGTGGTGTTCTATTACTAAAGTGGACCAATGCTTATGTGGCTTTATATTGGCTGTTAAAGGCCAGGTAATGTCACACACACCGGCATGTTTCCAGTCATGTTCTTATGGGGTCCTTCCATCTTCCAAATACATTTGTTTCTCAAGTCGCTCCTTTACACACTCGTATGTCTGTAGTCTGACCCATGTGGGGCCCTTCCGTCCAGTTCTTACGGTAATTGTTTTTAATGCACTGTGGCAACACCTGACATGACCTCAACTGTGATTTTAACATTCGTAATTGTATACTGTGTCTGAGCTGTTAGATGTTTTAAAGCAATATTTTGATTTGATCCACTGCAAACTCTTGGAATAGACGTGAGCTGCTTTTTAGTCCATGCTCTCAGTTAAAGTTCAGTGCTGTTTCACCATTAGATGACCTTATTAGCCTGTGAATGTCTCTTCATACAGTTCTGAGTCTCTTCTTGTCTGTCTATTTCAGGTGAAAGGCCTTCAGACTCCTGCTGCAGCAGAAGAGAATGAGACCAGCCCTGTTCCTCAGATGCTTAACGATAGACCTAACCCAGATCAGACCTGCACACAGGTAAAAGTACATTCAAACACATTCATCTATGCTGACATGTATGTGGTGGTGTTCTATTACTAAAGTGGACCAATGCTTATGTGGCTTTATATTGGCTGTTAAAGGCCAGGTAATGTCACACACACCGGCATGTTTCCAGTCATGTTCTTATGGGGTCCTTCCATCTTCCAAATACATTTGTTTCTCAAGTCGCTCCTTTACACACTCGTATGTCTGTAGTCTGACCCATGTGGGGCCCTTCCGTCCAGTTCTTACGGTAATTGTTTTTAATGCACTGTGGCAACACCTGACATGACCTCAACTGTGATTTTAACATTCGTAATTGTATACTGTGTCTGAGCTGTTAGATGTTTTAAAGCAATATTTTGATTTGATCCACTGCAAACTCTTGGAATAGACGTGAGCTGCTTTTTAGTCCATGCTCTCAGTTAAAGTTCAGTGCTGTTTCACCATTAGATGACCTTATTAGCCTGTGAATGTCTCTTCATACAGTTCTGAGTCTCTTCTTGTCTGTCTATTTCAGGTGAAAGGCCTTCAGACTCCTGCTGCAGCAGAAGAGAATGAGACCAGCCCTGTTCCTCAGATGCTTAACGATAGACCTAACCCAGATCAGACCTGCACACAGGTAAAAGTACATTCAAACACATTCATCTATGCTGACATGTATGTGGTGGTGTTCTATTACTAAAGTGGACCAATGCTTATGTGGCTTTATATTGGCTGTTAAAGGCCAGGTAATGTCACACACACCGGCATGTTTCCAGTCATGTTCTTATGGGGTCCTTCCATCTTCCAAATACATTTGTTTCTCAAGTCGCTCCTTTACACACTCGTATGTCTGTAGTCTGACCCATGTGGGGCCCTTCCGTCCAGTTCTTACGGTAATTGTTTTTAATGCACTGTGGCAACACCTGACATGACCTCAACTGTGATTTTAACATTCGTAATTGTATACTGTGTCTGAGCTGTTAGATGTTTTAAAGCATCTTTTTGATTTGAATTTTGATGTTAAATATTTTGATTTGATGCACTGAAAACCCCAGTAATGGTCAATTGGACCATGGACCAATGCTCACGGGGCTTTAAAGTAGTCAGGTGACCTTTATTGGGTTGTAATTTATTACAATTTTTTATTGGCCAACCTTTCTAATTCCATACTTAATGAATTTTTGTTTATTTTTAGGTATTTACTGTCCAAGGATTTTCACTGGTTGATTATCCAGATAGTGATGAAACTGATGAGGATGGTATGGAAAACGAACCTCCCACCCCACACCTGGATGTTATTATAGGGCAGAATGATATTGGCCCAGATGTTTCAGATCATTTGTACGATTCAGATGAAACTGTTGTGAAAGAAACTTGTGATGAGGCTTCTCCAAGCAACCATTCCAACAATCAATCGGATGATGAACTTGTTCCACCACTGAGACGCACAAAAAGCATTCTGGTAAGCCCCAAAACACATTTTAACAATATAATTAACTTGTTTATGTGATAAATTTTTTGCCACTAGTAAGCGAATTTGAATTTTATATTTGAATGGGAATCATTTACTTTGAACCTGAATCGATTGTTTTGAACAATTGCTTTTAAAATCTGAATTTAAATGGACTCATTTGAAATTGAATCTATTGGATTGGCATAAACACCTGCAGGTGTGTGCTTTAAAAAAAAAAAAAAAAAAAAGATACAACGTGCCCAGTGATGTAGGCTACTGGTCAGCCAGCATACCGGGACAAACCCCGGTAGGGCCGGTCTCTGTTGCCAAAATCCGGTCGAGTCCTCGTCCTCGCCTGGTGCATTAATTATCAATTAAATAGAGATCACCAACAATCAATCAGTAATCATTTATTAGAGAAGCTCAACTCTCTCTCTTTTCTGACTGATTAAATTATTGACTAATCTCTCCCTCTCTCTTGAGTAGTTCCATGTCTACAGGAATGACACTATATCATTATGATGAATCATTTGCTGTGAAGTCATTAAATTTAACAATCAAATGCATGAAAACTGAAACGTTACTCTTTTTTTAATAATTTTGTCAACGTTTACTCCACCTGGAAGGCAGTTTGGACATGGGCCTCAGCAGGTGGATGGAGGGGTAATATTGGTCAATAATTTTCATAGGTGTCTAGCTCACCTGACAACCTCTGAATGGTCTCCCTATCAATAAAAAAATACAGCAATCATACAGCAAAATATCTCCATGTCTCCCTTTTTGCAGATGGATAGAGTACAAGATTTTACCCACAGTCTCTATGATTCAAGTAGTGACAGCGCAGAGGAGACTCCTTTTAAGTCTGAAAGGGATTCACAGAAACTGAGAAGAAGGTCTTGCCGTCCCGTAAGTCTTTTTTTTTGGGGGGGGGGGGTTACGATTGTGAAAATGTCTGTTGCTCTTGCTAGTGAGTCTGATGGGGATTCTTCTAATTTGTAAATTTACTTGTACTGAAAATGGTCCATACAGATTTTTCTTCATTTAGTATCCTGAGCCTGTTCAATCAGTATCCTCAGGTTTTTTATATTTAATGTTGCAAAAATAGTTATTAACAGATGTGTGTTTGTTTTTAAAGATTCAGATAAATCTCATGGAATCGGATGACTCAATCTCAGGTAGCGAAGATGAGTATATTCCAAATCCCATGGATGAAAGCACAGAAAGTGATAGCAGTATGGAATTAACCCTGGAAAAGGAAAAAAAGAACAAAGGTGCATCATCCAGTCAGAGCAAGTTTAAGCCCAGAGAGAGTGGAAGTAGATCCTCCAGAGAGAGTGGAAGCGAGTCCTCCAGACAGAGCAAGTCTAAGCCCAGGGAGAGTGGAAGTGGAAGCAAGTCCTCCAGACAGAGCAAGTCTAAGCCCAGGGAGAGTGGAAGTGGAAGCAAGTCCTCCAGACAGAGCAAGTCTAAGCCCAGGGAGAGTGGAAGTGGAAGCGAGTCCTCCGGTCAGAGCAAGTCTAAGCCCAGGGAGAGTGGAAGTAGATCCTCCAGAGAGAGTGGAAGCGAGTCCTCCGGTCAGAGCAAGTCTAAGCCCAGGGAGAGTGGAAGTAGATCCTCCAGAGAGAGTGGAAGCGAGTCCTCCGGTCAGAGCAAGTCTAAGCCCAGGGAGAGTGGAAGTGGAAGCGAGTCCTCCAGACAGAGCAAGTCTAAGCCCAGGGAGAGTGGAAGTGGAAGCGAGTCCTCCAGACAGAGCAAGTCTAAGCCCAGGGAGAGTAGAAGTGAATCCTCTAGTCATAGCCAATTTGACTTTAGCCAGAGAAGACTTTTGGAAAGATGTCATGATCCCGCACGAAGATTTCCAAATAGCAGAGTTGATGGGAATGAAAAGGAAATCGCAACATATTCTGAAAACAATGTTTCAGTGCCCCTGGAAGAAGAGCAGTATATCATTGTCAGTCCAACTTTAAAGAAAGATGATGGATCCAGAAGCTATAACAAGAAACATTTCTGTTTTTATTGCAGGAAGTTTGTCCAGAAAATGTCAAGACACTTGTGGCGTAAACACCAAGATGAATCGGATGTTGCGAAAGCATTCAGTTTTCCAAAAAACTCAAAGGAAAGAAAACTACAATTGGACTACATACGAAATAAGGGAAACTTTGAGCACAACAGTCATGTTTTGGAAACACAAAAAGGAAAACTAATCCCATGTAAACAACCGGGAAAAAAATCAGAGGGACATAAATTTGCACATTGCATTCACTGCTATGGGTTGTTCTCAAGAAGAGCAATGTGGCGGCATTTCAAGGTCTGCAGCTTCAAACCCGAAAGTACTAAACCAGGTAAAAATAGAGTTCAGGCATTGTGTGCTTTCGCTGAACCTTCTCCATCGGAATATACAGACGCGTATTGGAAGTTCTTGAGTGTAATGAGTCAGGACAAGATTGCAGTTGCAATTAAAGGAGACAACTGCATCCTCAATTATGGGTTCAGGTTGTTCAAAAAGAATGAGAAGATAGTGAGTCAACACCAGTATATACGCCAAAAACTGAGAGAACTTGGCAGGCTTTTATTGGAAGCTAAAAAAATCACACATGTGAAGACCATTCAAGAACTCATCAAACCTGAACAGTACTCCCAGGTTGTCAGAGCTGCAAAGAACCTATCTGGATTCAGTGAGGAAAGTGGCATATACCAATGTCCCTCTCTTGCACGCAAGGTAGGACACAGCCTGCATTCGTTGGCTATGTTTATCAAGTCCGAAGGACTGAAAAAGAAAGATAAAGAAACCATAAAAGATGCTGAGGAGTTCGCACAGTTGTATTTAGAGAGTTGGAGGTTTGATATTGCAGGCCAGGCATTAACCCAGCTTAACCGGGCCAAATGGAATGCACCGCAACTTTTACCTCTTACACAAGATATCCAAAGGCTACATTGCTATCTAGAAGAAAAACAGCAGCAACATCTCAAAGATTTAAAAGAACATCATTCATCCACAAATTGGAAGGAACTTGCAAAAGTAACACTGACTCAAGTTATGCTTTTTAATCGGCGGAGAGCAGGTGAAGTGTCCCGAATGCGCCTGTCTGCATACTTATCGAAGGACACATCAGAGGAACAGGGAGATGTAAATTTGGCCCTCACAGCGCTTGAGCAGAAGCTCTGCAGGCATTTTGTGCGAATAGCAATTGTTGGAAAAAGAGGAAGGAAGGTTCCTGTTCTTCTAACCCCATTAATGAGAGAATCACTTGATGCTCTTACTGAGAGCAGAGAAGAATGTGGGGTGCTAAAGGACAATGAATATCTGTTTGCATTGCCACAATCTGCCCATTACCTCAGGGCTTGTGACTGCATTAGGCAATTTGTCAGTGAATGTGCTGACATAAAAAATCCTCAAGCGCTAACATCAATTCAACTGAGGAAACATATTGCTACCCTGTCTACTGTTCTGAACCTCAAAACCACTGAGCTCGACCAGTTGGCAGACTTCCTTGGTCATAATATCGCTGTTCACAGGAAACACTACAGGCTCCCAGAAAGCACCCTCCAATTAGCCAAAGTAAGTAAAGTCCTCCTGGCAATGGAACAAGGACGCCTAGGAGATTACAAAGGAAAGAGCCTCGATGAAATACAAGTCGATGTGAATGGTAATTAACTTTATATTCTTGAAGGCACAATATATGACATTTAGTCTTCCGCATTCCGAAAACAACTATTTACCATGTAAAACAGGGCAGTAATGGTGACGGGATGAGAGATAATGCTACTGTTGTATACTCTTGCAGATTGCCCATAGTTTCAGCTTTCCAAACTCAATTTTTTATCAATTACCATTTTAGAGACCATTGACATGGAGGGACCTTTAGCAGAGGACATTGAAGGTATGTGTATACGATGTTCCTAAATTGATTTTTAAATGATCCGTTTTAGATATTTTGTGTATTGTATTAAGTTATTTCCCTCTCCAGATGTCAGTATGCTAAGAGATGATGGGTCAGACGATGAGGTCAGCATGTCATCCACGCAAGAATGTACCTCCACATCACAAAGTCAAAACCGGGGAGTGTCTGCAACCGGTGAGCTTGAACGCAATTCTTACCTTTCGTGCATTTCACACAGCACGTGGCAAAAATTTCAACATCAACAACTCCACCTCCCTTCTTTGTCCCACCCACCTCTTTCTCCTGCAACTCTGTCAGGAGACCTGTATGATGCAGAGGCTGCACAATCAGTCAAACACAACCCCAGTTTTAAAACTTAACACTGCGTCAGTACTGCCTGAAATTACAAGTAGCATTAACTTTGAGGTTAGCGGGAACCCACCTATTGCTTATAGGTTGCTCTAATCTCTCGGCACAGACTTCATACAGGGATAGCACAGCTACTCCAACACGTCCCTGTCACTACAGAACATCTGGAATGTGCGCGATTAGGTGATGCAGGACAATTCCCTGAGCACATTATCCAAGTCTGCTTCATGGCAGCAAACAGACTCCACGGTTGATCGCAGTGACCGCACTTGCACTGCAAAGGGTTGCCGACCCTCTCCTCACTGTCATCTCCGTCCGGAGCCGCTGCAGCTCCCTCAACCAAAAACGGGTCTCTCAACCCTCCTCCTCATCACTGGCTCAAACGCATATGCCATCGGGTTAGATGACATCTAATAAACTCATACAGCCTTGTCGTTAATTCTACTTGTAATATAACAACAGTCGCTTTCTGTCTGATGAAATCAGTTCATCTTATATTGTCCGACATACAATCTTTTCGGCGCACAGCTACTTCAGCACTAGTGGACTGCGTGGGACGGTCTGTCGTCCATACACTATATGAGGAAATATACTGCTTGAGGGCCACTATCCTTTAGGTTTTAGATGTTTCCCTGCTGCAACACACCTGATTCATTGTGCAGAGCTTGGCAACAAGCTGTTTGATCTATTTAATTTGAATCAGGTGTGTTGAAGCAGGGAAACATTTCAGACCTGCAGAATAGTGGCCCTTGAGGACTGGAGTTGCCCATCCCTGGGCTAACATGACAACTAATATTTTCACGTCACTAGTCACTTGAAAAGAATTTAGGACTATAGGAGACGGGATGAAATAAACTGTCTCTCTTTAAGAGACACAAATCCCATATACTGACTTCTTATTAAGTGCCTTGAGACGACATCTGTTGTGAATCAGCGCTATATAAATAAACTGAATAGAAAATTGAATTGAATATACTAAATTATTTTATAAAATAACACAACCACTGCACTGACGGCTATTACATATTTCATGTAGTGTATACTACAATAAAGTTATTTCTTTGTCCAGATGTCAGTATGCCAAGAGAAGAGGGGTCAGAAGATGAGGTCAGCATGTCATCCCTGCAAGAATGTCCCTCCACATCACAAGTCCAAAACCGGAGTGTGTCTGCAAAAAAGAGAGGTAAGCTTTGGGGCTTGCACTCTCTTTTGGGCCAGAGCTGCTCATTTATTTTTAGGGCTTTTACTTTGCTTCCTTGACTCAACACTTGAAATATGTCTGTCCCTCCTTACTGTCCGGTGCCACAAGCCTGACAGTGACTTGAAAGAAGCTGTTGCAGGAACAGACCTTGTGAGCCTGCATTGTCGCAGGTTGTAGGGTTGGGGAAAGACTGGCATTATCACCTTTATATCAATAAGAAGTCTGTTGTATTTAAAAAAAAAAAAAAAATCTTTACGACTTTATGGACTTACTCAGGAAAAATGCTTGCATTTCCTCCAACAACGGAGGTGTACAGTGACCAGTTGAAAAACTCGAACAACCTATAATCACCTTAAATACCTCCTAACTGTTAGTGTTCCTTCATCCAAGTCTCATTAAGCCTCCACATGCAGCTGACTTTATTAAATGACCTTTTAAAAGTGCCTTATAAATAGAAAATATTATCATTATTATTGTTTTTAGTATTATTATTATTATTTTGTGAAATGCAAAAAAGAATAAAATTGCTTTAAGTGAGAGAGTGTGTGTTTATACTCGAGTGTAGGGTAAAAGCATCCTGTTGCAGTTTCTTTTCCAGAATTATAATGTAATGCCGTCAGCAACACACAAAGAAAAAAGAATGCAATCAAAACCGTTAACTATAAATAAAGTTAAAAAGCAATACTAAACGGAATGCATCTGAGCAGGCACTCCTCCGTTGCTTTCTGCCTTTCGTTCACCCGTTGCAGCTCTTCCTTCAGCCAGTTGTCGGTCGTTCTCATGGTGGTTTTGGCAAAAGAGGGAGCACGGGGCTTGGAGAAGCTGGCAGCACAGGGGTTTTTCCACCGCTTCATGCACTCTTTCAGCAACGAGACCAAAACATCCGGAGACTTGTGATCACTCTGGCCAATTACAAGAGAGTACATCCACGTAGCTGCGTTTGCGTAGCTGGGCAGCACGTCAGGTCCGAAGAGGTGCCCATCAAGCTGCATAATTAAGGATTAATTTGCAGTGTTTTTGTTTTTACCAAACCAGTGTATAAAATGAATAATAATCTCAGTCATGTTATTATGAAGAGTTGTTTATTCCAACAAATAAGATCTTTATTTATTTACATTGTTAACAGTGCAATGTCTGCAGTGTTCTTTCGCTCTCCACTGAAATCTATGTGCTCAGTGTGAAGTCCACCTTTACTTATAGTGGTAATCCCAGAAACAGTTCCTGTCCTCTGAAAAACAGAGGCGGACATCACACTTACTGCATTGGGTATTGGTGTACCCTTTACTGCAATGTCTGCAGTGTCCTCTCTTTGTCTTCAGGGGGAAACGTCCAGTTTGGTCCATGCGCGCATCCATGGGCGGTGGTTTGCGTGACTTTTTAGAAGAGGGAGCCTTTGGACTTCCATCATCCATGTGTGGTCTCTTTCCACTATTCAGAGGGCTCCTGTCTCTGGGCTCTTGTTGATTGAAGATGGCCGTCCTCTCTTTGGCGTTTTCAGTGTTGTGTCCGCCAGATTAGAATATAAATGTATCAATTTATGTACATCTCAAATTCCAGTCTGATTTATCACAAACAAGGTAAATAGCACAAATAGATCATTACCGTAATGAGAGAGGAAGCCAGCTGTGCTTGGAACTTTCTCATATTCAGTATCTCCTTTGGCATCCTGAGAGCATAGGCTGTGCTGCTTGTAGAGGAGCCAGGCGTTGACCACAGCAAGGGTGATTGTGTGCCAGAAGATGTACATGTACCACCACCAGGATTTCAGTGCATACTTGTGTTTTGCTGTAAATGAGTCCAACAAATCCACACCTCCCATGTATTTATTGTAGATGCCCACAATGGAAGCCTTTCTAACGTCAATGTAGGTTTTGGCGGCTTTGTCCCAGTGTTGAATCTCCTGAACAGGTTCTGGTCCAGCGAAGTGTCACCGCCCTGTTGTCGTACCATTTGACAGCACAGATGTTGTTTCCCCTCCACTCTGTGGTCAAAGCTTCCTCTGCCCTTCTTCTTCAAGCTCTTCACATGTAAAGATTACAGTTGGGGAGATGCACTTGCCTGGCTGTTCCCACATAATGGATTCCTTGCTCAAGGAGCTTCACTACCAGTGGAACGGAGGTGAAGTAGTTGTCTGCCTAGATCTTCTTGTGTTGACCCTTTGGAAATGTGGAGGCAAGCTTCATTACAACATCACTGACAATCCAAGTTTAGATTTGACTCGTACATCATTGTTGCTCCCTTGGTAAACATCAAAGTCAAGCATCATGCTAGAGATTCCAGCTTTCACCCATACTTTAAAGCCCCATGAGCATAGATTACCTTGCATATACTTCTTGATGCTGCTGAACTTCCCGTTGAAGGGTATCATCATCTTGTCCATGGAATGTGCTCTTCTGGTACCACCTGCAGGCAGTTTTCTCTGAGTGAATCAAGCTGTGGTCTGAGTTTCCAGAGTTTGTCCCTCTTTTCAGTCTCTGGCACGGTTAAATTGTTTACAAAATGTAATGTTCCATCCTCAGGTACATGCCCAATGCTGCCTGTATTTCTTTTGTATTAGTGTTGACTGATCTTTCATCATTTTGAATGCTATACTCATTCGTATTTGTTGCCAGAGCTTGAACCAAATCTTCTGACAAAAACTTTTGGAAGTATTGCAGTGGTGTGTGGAGGGAGGTGACATCAACTGTGAGAGCTTGACCAGAAAAATCAGTGATGTCTGTCATGTGGCATGATGTATTTCTTTGATTGCCCGGGTTCAATATTCACATTAGCTGGACAATTGGTAGGTTCTTGGTTTTCTTTGTCCACAGAGACATCATTATCTGATTCTTCATCACTCGCATCAGTGTCGTCAAAATCTATGTCCACATCACTTTCTCCGTTTTGGATGATGGCAATTACATTGTGCACATTGTACCGAGGATTTCTCCTTGCTGGTGGCATTCTGAAATGGAAAAGATAAAATTGAAACAAATTTCCATTGTATATACAAATAGCACACATGCCTCATTATGACATGTTCACACTTTGGACTGAAGCAGCCTATTCACACATCTCACCGGTCACGCTATACCCTAATGGCTCACCTATAGTAGACTGTGATTGTAATCCTTACTGGAATGCATTCAGCGTCCAGTTTACAACAAAAACTAACAGTGATGAACATTTACACCTGTGTCAGAACAAAGCACCAGGAGCATCCCGCACAACTTGGAGGAGTGGCCAGGTGTCTCTTGCAAAAGAGATCTTGGATCTCAATGGGACAGACCTGGTTAAATAAAGGTTATAGGCCTAATGATAATAAGCTCTTTGACTATAAATTGATAAGAACATTTTGTTTATCAGTAGACTAAGAAAAGGCAGATTTGCACAAACAGAATTTCTTTGTTAGAAAGTCCTGCAGAATGTGATAGCAAATTATAATGTTTAGATATGGCAATATATCTTTCAACTTTAGTCTCTAATACAGTATAGAATATGTAATCCGATATAAAGCTAAAGGGTATAATGTTTAAATCCTGTATAATTTGTTGTTTACATTTTCATTTAAGTTCCCCTCAAGATGTTCCTTAGCCTGGGAAAACCCAGACAACTTCTGGCAAATTTAGATTTGCTCTGAAAGTTAGTCTGGCAAAGAGCGCATTCAAGTCCATTTCCAATCCACCGAAATCGCGGCACCAATCAGAAACGTTGGGGCGGGCTTTACACGATGACGACAGCGCTGGGATTTTGAAGCAGATTTTGTAGCCTACATTACAAAGATGGATGCCGCCGTCGAACATAACTCGTTCGGATCAGCTATCCCGTCTGTTTTAAGCGGTTTGAACGTTTCCTTTTTGTTAAAAACCGAGCAAAGAACAACACTCGGAGATGTTTCTCTGCCGGCCGCCGCTCTGCATACGTCATCTCCTTCATCGCTCTGATTGGTTTTAGGCCTACCCGCGACGTCCGTTGGAGACGCCCCTCTGGAAATGATTTGTCTATGACGCTTTGCCAGACCATAACTCAGTTACAACTGAGAATGGTCTGGTTTTAACCAGGCTAGATGTTCCTCTTAAATACAGGGCAATTATGACTGCCACTCTCATCCAACATTGTAATATCGCAACATTTATAAAACAAGCTCTAAACAAAATGTAGGGCATATTTTCAACATTTACTGTACATGTCCTTGTTCTAGACACTGTAATAAACACAGAAAAACATATTCCAAGCATTTTACTTACTTCAAGATGAATCCAGTCCAGTAAATCAAAGGGATGTTGCTTGATCAGAAAGTTGTAGGATGTGTCACTTCTTGACTTAAGGGGGGTGGGCTTTGTATACAAATCCTGGATCCAATTACATGGTGGGAATAAAATGTAGGACCCACAGATCATATTGATGTAGTTGTATAAACAAAAAAGACAAAAGGGGTTTTGGGAAATAACCACAATTGTTGTAATTCTGAAACAGTGGGTCTTACAGGGTTAAGTAAGATTAAAATTTCTTTATAAAAGAAAACCTACAATGTTTTGTGTTTTTGCCTACATAGGAAAACAAACAGCCATCAAAAGAAGCTGGACCCCAGACGAGTGTGCTGCAGTGGACACACATTTGAGGAGATTTATTGTAAGGAATCAAGTTCCTGGTAAAGAAGAGTGTCAGCGCTGTATTACTGCAGAACCTCAAGCTCTCAGAAACAGAGACTGGAAAGCAGTTAAATATTATGTTAAAAATCGCATTACAGCCCTGAGAAGAAAAGTCTAGTGTGAAAGCACCTAATGGAACTGAGGTAAAACCAAAACATTAGAGGTAGGATCTTAAAATGTTTTGTCTTTGGTTGTGTTCTGTTGTAACCTTGTTGTTGTTGTTGTTGTTGTTGTTGTAGGGGTTTGCTCAGGTTTTATGGCTGTCCAGTGGCCAACAAATATACACATTTCACAGATCTTATTTAATTTTATTTTTTATTTGATGGATGTAGGATGGATGTTCGAGAGATGAATGGATGTAGGATAGATGATTGATGTTTGATGGATGTAGGGTAGATGATGGATGGATGGATGTTGACCGGATGGATGGATGGATCTTGAATAGATGTTGGATGGATGTTGACCAGATGATGGATGGATGGATGGATGGATGTTGACCAGATGATGGATGGATGGATGGATGTTGACCAGATGATGGATGGATGGATGGATGGATGGATGTTGACCAGATGATGGATGGATGGATGTTGACCAGATGATGGATGGATGGATGTTGACCAGATGATGGATGGATGGATGGATGGATGGATGTTGACCAGAGGATGGATGGATGGATGGATGGATGTTGACCAGAGGATGGATGGATGGATGGATGGATGTTGACCAGAGGATGGATGGATGGATGGATGGATGTTGACCAGAGGATGGATGGATGGATGGATGGATGTTGACCAGAGGATGGATGGATGGATGGATGGATGGATGGATGATGTTGACCAGAGGATGGATGGATGTTGACCAGAGGATGGATGGATGTTGACCAGAGGATGGATGGATATTGAGGTTTTCTTATTTATTTTAATACATTTTTTTATTTATTTTAGGGCCTGAACACTGAAAGTGTGTGGGGCATATGTTAAATATTTCAAAGGATTTTTCATTTCTTTAAATATCTCTGTATCATGATTTCAAAATTTGAGGCTTCATTGGAAAGAGAACCTAGTGTTAACATGATATTATGGATGCAGTCCAATGAAACATATAAACTGTTGGGTTTACATAAAAGTTCAGGCTGATGTTGTTCAAACATTGAGTGCAGATTGTACAGACCTCTAGACATTAAATTAATAATTTGTTTTAATCATTTCATAAAAAGTTTATTGACTGACAACTGTGTGGCATAAACTGTCATTACAATAAAATTGGTCATTTCAGTTTTGTCATAAAACTGTCTTTGAAGCCGTATGTCTTGTAATCTGTAAAGGCAGATGGAAAGTTTCACATGTATACATAATTACTCATTACAAAAATAACTATTTTAGTCCAAAATAAGGAAACTGGGAGTAATAATAAAGGCTGGTGTCAGCAGCTGCAGATAGTGACCTTGGGCCCCATTAACATATAAAAACTTGGTATGTATGTGTGTATGTGGGCGGACCCCACAAGTCAGCAATCCTAGAAACGGCCCCCACAAAGGGCCAAATACCTTTTTTGACAAAACTTTTGAAATTTGTCAAATTGAAGTGATATTAATGATTGAGATTTTTTTTTAGATCTAATGTTGTTTTTTACAGCAGTGTAGGACCACTGGAAAGGGTGGATCCCACAACGCATAAAAAAACTGGTGGGCCCCATCAGGGAGCCTGCGTCAGAATGTGTGTGTGTGTGTGTGTCTGTGTGTTCAAGTCCCAGTGTCTCTGTCAAGGCTAAATCCCTAACCACATGACACGAACAAAAACAGAACTGAACCATCACCATACAAACTAGAGGCAAAAGAAAACCTAAGTGACATCCAGAACTGGTACATTAACTACATCTAAAGTGGCCCATACAAGCCTAGGCTAACTTATACTGGATGTCTAACGATTCAACCTCGTCTTCAGGCAGCTACTGCTAAAGCTGGGGTAGGCAATTTATTTCAGAAGCATTTTTTTGTTATTGTTGTTAAAAATCTCTTTACATCCCGACAGCCCTTAATAAATCCAGTGCTCTACCTGCCCATCTGCTCGTGCACTCATTGTGCATGAAAATATGCTTTGATGGGAGCCTTGGAGGGAGGCGTGAAGGGAGCAAGTAGGATTTTTTGAGTTCGAAGCTTTCAAAGCAAAATCTAGCTGTCTCTTGCTTGTTTCTCCAGGGTTGCCTTCCCTAGTTTTAATTTATCTATACATTATAGCATTGAACACTATTTTGGGTCTTCACCAAGTCCTGGGGAAAATGTCTGGTTCTTTAGCTGCTAAATGCTGTCCTTTGTTCACCAGCTAGTCGCTAACTTTGGTCTGCTGTTTGGGACTAGGCAAGCGCATGTATTGGCTTATTAGACCTTCTTAGCTGAAAACAGCCCGTCTGCGTATGAAAACAGCACTGATGAGAGCGGCGAGAGTAAACCAAAAGAGAAAAGCTGGAGGCCAAAAAAAACAAAACTATGAAGTGAAAGACGCTATAAATCTCTGAAAGGTGAGGGGAACTGCAGTCGGATGATAATTCTCTGTGGGATCATCAGTACATGCGACCTCCAATAGTCCCCTGTTAACATAAAATTATTGATTATTATTGTTATTAGTAGTATAGAGCATACTACTACCCCCGGACTATGTAAATGACATGTAGTTTATGAAAGAATCCCACTGCTAATGCAATGTAAAAGGAGCTACACTGGTGGCTTTGTTACTTATTTTAGATTAAATAGGGAAATTTGGATGCACAACCCTTTTGCAACACACACACCTATACACACATACACGCATACAATAACTAACTGTCAAAATATGAGTGGCAGTTTAATTCTGCCTCTGTCTGCCTTTTAGCTGTTAAACCACGATGTATGTGTGTGTGTGTGTGTGTGTGTGTCAGTGTGGTAGAGGGTGCGGTCCAGTTCCCAAGCCATAAAACCTGTATAGGATGTTTCCATTTGCCCACAAACACACACACAGCCTCCCATTCATTCCTTGTCCCCATCTTGGGTTCCTCCAGCTCCTTAACATTTTCCCTCTCTCCCTCCCTCCTCTCAGTGGCGTGCGATCCAGCCATCCATCCATCCTGTTCTCCTCCACAGGGATCCCTCCTGCTCCACCTCCCTCGCCTTCCTCCCTTTCCCTCCGTCTGACCCTCTGACCTGAACCAAACATTTATGCAGCAAAAGCAACATTCATATTCTGGTGATTAAGCTGAAGCTCAACCCCAGACTGACCGACAGTAGCTTGTTTTCTTTCCAAGTACTAAATGTGTAATCTGGGGTTGACTCTGTATTGTTTTGTTATTTTTTAATACTTTAGATTGAAAAATTATGAACGTACGATTGCATTCCATTGAGGTGGGCTAGTTCCATGCTGGCTCACTGTCATGTCTTATAGTTCAGAATCCAAATTGGTTCGTTGCCAAGTAGGTTTTCACATACAAGTAGTTTGCTTTGGTATTTTGTACAACAATAATCATAGAAAGGAAAAAAATGTAAAGATAGTAGCAACTGTTTTTGCGCTGATCACCTTCTCAGCAGAGAAAATGGAGTGTTTCCCACACGCAGATTTACTTGGGCCGGCCACCCATTGTATACGTTGGATTTTTCATAGGCTACATTGTCAACAACCCTCCTCTACATCCAGCGCACCTGCTTCTGTAAACGGAATCGCAGGTGGAAAAATCCAGAAGACGAGTTCTGTGTCTTTTCGGTGATTTTCAGTAAAAGTCAAAGGAGCAGACACATACAGGGAGAAAGAGAGAGAAGGAGGCTGGGCAGGTGTTAGTGTGGGGAAAAGAGAACGGAAGGCAAAGGGAGCAGATTCAATTAGTGAGTAAACACTAAGGTGGAAAATGAAGTACAATTCAAATGGTGAAATAAGAAATAAGCTACTAAAATAGAAAATGCACCCCCACAAACACAGACTACCCTAAGCCATAGCCTGACTGTGAGGACAGCACTTCAGCAACTCAGTCATGCTAGCAACACATGAATGTCAATTCCTAGAGCCTAAATGAATTGGTTCTATCTTGGAATTATTGCCATGTATTGTAATTGTAATTGTATTGTCAATTTTTATTTGCCCAATACTTATGACCAAATACCTGAAAAGCGAATGACATTCTCATCAGCCTCAACTGTACTGTGTTCAATGCTAATTATTAAATGCTGGCATGCTAACACTCGAAATTGGTGTTAATGTTAAACATCACATCTGCTTCAGATCAGCATGTTAACTTTGTCATTGCAGGCTTATAAGCATGCTGACATTCGCATTTACCTCATTTGCCTAAATACAGCCTCACAGAGGTACTAGCATGGTATTTAGACTCTTAGGCTACATTCAGACTGCAGGTCAATGTGACCCAAACCCAATGTTTTTGCTTATATGTGACTCAGATCTGATCTTTTTATAATGGTGCTTTCAGACCAAAAGCGAAGCGAGCGTTCGGGGCGATTAGTTTACACACAAAGTCAATGAAAAGACGCGTAGAGCCGCGATTTCCTGTCGGGCAGCGCGAAGGCAACGCGAAGGAATTCGTGTGAAGAAGTTGCATGACGCTGTGTTGACATTGTCCCTAGGTCACCGAGCCTTCAGAGCGCTGTGTGGAGAGGGCCCAGCAGAGCGGGGGATTGAAAATCTTCAGGCCGGCTGAGAGCTGCTAAACTTGGGGGAGAGGAGCAGGGGGCAGCGCTGCAACCACTGGACAAATAAACCCTCGTAGTCGGTCGTCTTCTGCTCTCACAGCTACGCCCTTTACTCGCGGGAGGAGCTTGGAGTAAACTGCTTTTATAAAATTAGCTTTTTACTTTAGTTTTTGGGATTTCAATGTTGATTTATCTTCACTGGAGCTTCTCAGCAGCTAGCTTCCGTGCACATCCGGTTCCAGTGTTGTTGTTAGCGTCGTTAGCTCTGTCGGACTACAACTTTATATTTATATAAAAAACGGACAAAACTGGACATTCCTTGGAGAAAAGAAAGCGAGGAGGCTGAACTACCGGGTGAGTTCAGAAATCATGTGTCACATGGAATCTGATCACTTTCATATGTGGTCCAAATACAGAATGCAGATCAGATATTTCTAAATGCGACATCAGTCTAGACATTCAGATCGGAGTTGATGCAACTGTGATGTCATTCCAGAGCAGCTGTTCCCCTGCCAGACGGAGCCGCAATGAATGAAAAAGCTCCACAAAAGTAATTTTGATACATGTGGCTGTCTACCTCCTCAACCTCGCTATCATCTGATCACAAAGTCCCTTTCTTACACCTGAAATCCACGGGGCCACGAGCTCTCTTCTGAGTTACGTGCATGCTACTTATCCAAGCAGACGCAGTAGAGAGAGAGAGAAAGTTGTGGGGCATATGCGTTGTACAG